CAACAAGCACACGACTAACAACATCTACGTTTGCTGATGATACAGCCATTCTCAGCCGCTCAAAATGCCCGATGCAAGCAACTGCGCAGCTAGCTCTTCATCTGGTCGATGTTGAAAAGTGGCTATCAGATTGGCGAATTAAAGTGAACGAACAAAAATGCAAGCATGTTACGTTCACCCTGAACAGGCAAAACTGTCCGCCGCTCATGTTAAACCATACTCTACTCCCGCAAGCAAACGAAGTGACATATCTAGGAGTACACCTCGACAGAAGACTCACATGGCGCCGGCACATTGAAGGCAAAAGAACACACCTAAAGCTAAAAGCCTGTAGTCTTCATTGGCTTATCAACGCTCGGTCTCCCCTTAGTCTTGAATATAAAGTGCTGCTGTATAACTCGGTACTAAAACCTATATGGATGTACGGCTCTCAGTTATGGGGGAATGCCAGCAATAGCAATATTGAGATAATCCATCGAGCTCAGTCGAAGATCTTGAGAACAATCACCGGGGCACCGTGGTACGTTCGCAACGAAAATATGCATCGCGACTTAAACATTCTACGAGTCAAAGAAGTGATCGCAGAACAGAAGGAAAAGTACTTTACCAAGCTATCTTTGCACCCTAACCACCTGGCGAGGGGTCTAACAAGGTTGATCAACCAATCACGCCTTCGTGGCTTACCCACCCAGCGACCGACCTGAGGGACGCGCAAACAGAATGCAGTCTTACTATACTGTTAGTTACATTTTAATGTTAGAATTCGTAAACTTGTTGTTGGTCTCAAAATTAAGAGAAGATTTAATAAATAAAAGTAAAGTCTATAAAAAAAATATAAAAAAATGGTTTATAAAACAACACAAAAATTAATTATATTTCTGCATATCAAGACAACCCTTAACTAGTCCTTGTCAATTTGGCCCAATTTAATGGGAATACATGGGCGGCGGACTTTCAAAACTTTTAAGACCTGTTTCTGAGGTGCAAGCTGAAAATTAATATATAAACTAAGTAATTTTTATCAAAGCTGACAACGCATCAAGAATATTAAAAAAAAAATTTACAAGAAAAGTTATCTTAAAGTATTTTTTAACTAACTAGCTTGCGAAGGTTCTGTAGAACCAGAAAAAGGTTACATGGGTGGTACCAAAAACGGTTAGATGCATTCGGGTGCTTCAACTAAAACATCTATTATATTTGATTCACAGCTCGGATCTGACCTTTCATCACAATATATTACGGCTTATATTAATTTAAATTTTAATTTGCTAAAACACTTTCAGCATTTAATGTTGGTATTCCTTTTGTGCATTTTGCAACTCTGTACCTCAGTTTTAGGCCCTAAAGCATATTTTAAAAGAGTATAATGCTAAGAAAAGTCCAATTGAAGAGCTAATCCCAATAATGTAATCCCAACACAGTAATTGCTTTGCAAACTAGTGTCCTCCTTTCTTCTTTCCTATCTGAATACGGGAGGCTTATTAGTAACATAAAATTCCTACGTATATACATAAGTATAACTTCCCGGTAGTTTTATATTATTTGTTCATATATTCCACCATCAACTGAGTTCCCAATTTATGCGAATCTTCTTTTCGTTATCCAGTCAATTTTAAATAGACTTTCAAGTGGATATCAGTATTAGGTTAGTTAAATATACATAGTGCGACTTGTTCTCCTGACGATAACTCAGAAATTTTACTTCCTTTGGAGCAGCATGACTTTAATGACGGCTTACTTGACGTTGCGCTTTCTCAAATAAACTATGTTCAGAATTTTTTTTGGACTTTTATCGGACTTGTGTTTTGTTTCAAATCCAGAATGCGTTTGTCTATTAAGATACGAAAGATCGATATCACCCTGGAAATCTTTCTTTTATATATGTGCTCCGTGAAGGGTTGTCAATCCTATTATGGTATCCCTTTAAAATAAATTAAAGCGTGCGGATCACAATCTGTCTTTTCCCGATAAAAAACGTCATTGGTCTTAACGTCCGATGTTATATTAACTATTTGTATCGTTGTATGGATTTCACAAGAGCCAAAATATGTTGATAATTTTATTACAACTAAGCGTAAATCCGCCTTTTACCCAGTATCGCTATTAATTGAAAACAGAAATATAAAACAAGAGAGAACGCTATAGTCGGGTGCCCCGACTATCAGATACCCGTTACTCAAGTAAAGGGAGTGCGAGGGAGATGGAGATAGAAACTTTGATCACGCATAACTTTTTAACGAATGGTCCGATTTGAAAAATTTCTTCTACATTTCGATAGGTATTGATAAACACAATAAAACTGCATTTTTACTTTTCCGAAATATTTAAATTTTTAAAATCGTATATAAGCGATTGTGGGCGTTAAAGGGGGCGTGGCACCTTTTTGAAACAAACTTGCGCTGCGTAGGAACTCCTAGAATCTGCATGCAAAATGCCAATCTTCTAGCTTTTATAGTTTCCGAGATCTCAGCGTTCATACGGACAGACAGACAGACGGACAGACGGACATGGCTATATCGACTCGGCTAGTGACCCTGATCAAGAATACATATACCTTATAGGGTCGGAAACGCTTCCTTCTAGCTGTTACATACTCTTGCACGAATACAATATACCCTTTTACTCTACGAGTAACGGGTATAATTAGTACAAGCAATTCCATTGGTACATTTAAGTTGTCCGCCATCTCACAGCGAAAGACTACGACGACAAATCTCTTGGAGCTAAAGTCATTTGTAACAAGAAAGGAAGCAAACTTGTTAAGGCCGAAGTTTATGTACCCTTGCAGTTATTACAAAACATTTCGATTTTTATGCCTGTATTACTAAATACAATGAAGCTATGCTATTTTGCGCTGCATTTTGCCATTGTTTCTATGGCAGCTATATGATATTGTTGGCCGATTTTAAAAAAACTAAAAGCGTAATTATGATTTAGTAAATATTTACTATATCTTAAGGAAATATTTTGATAAACAGAAAAACAGCAAAGTGAAAATTGTATTTCATTTTTTTTTCATTTTTTAATTTTCTTATGGGCGCTATATGATATAGATGTCCGATCTTAATTTAATTAAAACTGAAATTCCATAGTATTTAAATATTACCAAATCCCAAGGAACAAAAAAAAATTAAAATCAACAAAATTATACTTTTAAAATTTTTTTCAGATTGTTCCTATGGGAGCTATATGATATAGTCCCCCGATCCGACTCACCTGCAATAGAAAGACAACTTTTGGGAAAGTTTCAAGCAGATAGCTTCAAAATTGAGGGACTAGTTTGCGTAGAAACGGACGGACGAACAGACGAACAGACGAACGGACCGACGGACGGACAGGTATGACATTCGAAAAGCCGAACTCAGCTCTTGTGCCCCTAGCTTGAGTTTAAAGGGGATACCAAAATACCAAGAAGGCTTTCGCCAACTTGGTGAGCATGAAGACGTTCCTGCAGACGTTGTTGAATCGACACGCTAATTTGCATGATCTGTGCCCCGAGTCCATAGCCTCCCTGTTACTCGGGACGCTCAATCAACCTCTTTTATTTTCGAACAAGGAGCCCCACACGAAGACGAACATCGCTCAATTGGTGATTGCAGGGACAAAAGCCATTTTATTCAATACGCATCGAACCCACTTCTGCTGGGATTGAGGCAGCGTCGGATTGCTGATCGAAACTTAGCTAAATCACGTAACTAGACCTTGCCAGTCTAGCCTGCGCCTATATAAGCAAATCATGGACTTGTGCTCCGGCGAACATTCTGCTTTCGGCGTATTTTGCCCACATTTTTTAAACGACTTATTCTTTTTAGATTATTTAACAAAGCCTTTTTTTACACCGAATTTCATGTTCTATCTCACTTTAACCAAAAGTTCTCTTCTTTTGGATGATATTCCTGGATGCGTGCTTTGCTATTGAGCTGGAGCCCTGTTCAAGCCCCTTCACGAATTATTTATCTTATTATTAGAAACTTTCCTTATTTGGAAGGAATCATTCGTAACTCCTGTTCACAAGAAAGGTATCAAGTTAGAGACTAGTATTTATAAGGGTATATATAAATTGACAGATATCCGTAAGATTTATGAAAAAATTATTACTCCCCATTTGCAGCACCTTTGTAGATCAATTATATCTCCGTGTCAACACTGATTTATTAAACGTAGATCCAAAACCTTTTGGAGCTCACATCATTTGTCATAAAGGGCTCCAAAAGTAGTTCTTATACTGAAATTAGTAAAGCATTTAAATGTGTAAATCACTTGTTCGGAAATCTGACCTATTAGGATTTCCAGTTGATTTAAGCTGGGATGCAAATAAAATCGTACTTTCTTATTCTAGCAGACTTCTATTAATTAGTAAATTCAACCGTAGATCTGGTACTGCTTGGTAATGTCTTTATTTATAACCTAATGCGTAGTTATTATGTTCGGAGTATTATAGACTTTTTTCTTTAATCTTAAATCTTTCCTCGCACTTTTACCTTCATTTTCAAATCTATCGTATCAGGTGGGCGGGTGGTAAGGCGTGGGACTTCGCGAGAAAAATAATATTGAGGGCAAAAAGATAACCTTTTATTTATATTTGCAAACGCGTCATTAAAATCCAAATGTTACCAGATGGTTGAATTTCCTATTTCAACATATAACATACATTAATTTACCTAAATAAGTTCGTAGCCAGAGTTATCGGTGTTACTTGAGATTACTTCCTTGCTTATTTTCTTAGTTTTAGTTTTTTTCTTGTTTTTAAGTTTCTACCATTGAAAAATGTCTAGCAACAATGGTTTTTGCTTAATATATGACAGCAAACATTTTCCGTTATGTAAGGGAAACTTTAAGGGGAAACATATAATCGGATATATAGTTTTTCTTGTTTGGAACTGCCAGAATATGATACCATATGATCACTTCAATTATTTTCCCAATCGACAAAAGAATTTTGGAAATTCCAAGCCACTAGTAATAAAAAAACATTAATGAAGTCTTTCAAAACTATTTACCTCATAGTAAGCCAGAAATCCGGCGGCTCTGGTGAATTCTCCAGCTTGGCCAGGTCCAGGAGCCTTGGCATATAAGCCATTGTTGCTAGCATTTTCCAGAGTAAAGGATTGTCCGTATAGCGGCATACCCATAACGATTTTCCGTGAAGGGGCTCCCTTTTCGATCCAATAGTTAAGTGAGAAATTCTGGGTGATTAAAGGATTTAATACACACAGTATTTCGAAGTCCCAACATTTTGTACACTTACTGCGTTGAAATACTCAAAATCATCATCGGGATGATAGTACAGAGGTGCCACATGACCAGTCTTTTTGTCCCATTGACCATGGAAGTCGTACGTCATCACAGCGATCCAATCAAATAATCGTGACAGCAGGGGTACGTCATATCCTGCATCAATAATTTTCTTGCTTGGCGAGACTGCAGTAGACAACAAAAGTCCTCGAGGGCGAAACGCTTGGGAAAGTTCCCGAACCCAGGCGGTGAAACCTTCTTTCTCTTCGGCGAATCCCTTATTGCACTCCGTTTGCCAGCACACTGGGTACTCCCAGTCTAGATCAAGGCCCTCGAAGCCATATTTCTCAATGAACTCCAGGGCATGACGAACGAAGCGTTCCCGGGCTGAGGGACTTCTTACTAGACGACTATACTTATCTCCTTGCGAATCGTTCCAGCCGCCAAGCGCCAAGCTTACTTTGATACCCTTGCTTTTAAGGCTGCTGACCCTCGTGTAAAAGTTGTTGTCAATGTCGGCCCAGGAATCATGTGTGCGCAGGATCAATTCGGAGTAGTCCAGCACCGCAAACCCATAAACAACGTGAGTGCACAGATCTGTGTTAATGTCGTCGGGAGTAAAACGACCAAGGCCCTTGCGATACCAAGCCCAGTTGGTAAAATAGCACACAATTTTGTAGTGCCCGTCAAGGGGCTTGAGTAGAGGCTTTTCTGTGCCGTAGATTGGTCGCGGGGTGGTGCTGGGCTTTTGGGTAGTGGGCGCTGGCTTGGCTAGTGCCGGAGGCTTTGGTTTAGCGCTTGACTCTGCTCCACCGCTGCCATTACCAGCATTTTGAATGCACTTGGCTGCCTCTGGCCAGTCGCAGTTCCCGATCGCCTCGTTGTAGTGCAGCTCCGGTGGACAGTCACCCGCCTGTAGGCGGTTCCATAAGCAAAATAGATACTTGGAACAGTTATTTGGATAAGGTACTCGCTCTTCGCCCTTGCAAGGATCCTCCTCGTTGGCGCGACTGGCCTGAATGATTTTCAGGTATTTTTTGCTTGTCACGCACTGCACGTTCTCTGGCCAGTCGCAGATCTTATGGATTGCGTCCCAGTGCAACTCTCCTCCACACTCACTGGGTACCAATGCTCCATTCACGCAGATATAGTATTTTCCGCAGTTCCTGTGGGTGTAGTACTCCCCCTCGTTGCAAGTGGCTGATGGATTTGGCGAAAATTGTGGTCGGTGGGAAGTGACTTGATGATGGGCGGCAGGCTTTGTAGGATTCATAATGGGCTTTGAAGTTGTTGTGGTCTTTTTGGGCTTTTTAGATACTGTAACCGGTTTTGGGCGAACTGTGCTTGATTCCTGCTCACGGTTCACTATACATTGTGCGGATGACGGCCAGTCACAACCCTTTGCCTCGTTGTTCCAATGAAGACCGCCGGGACAGAACTGCTGGCGCAACTCTCCTGGAATAATGCAGTGGTAGTAAGCGTTACAATTCTTCAAGTCGGCGTAGAATTTGCCGCTCTCACAGTTGATGGCCTGTACCACCGGGTAAATCACTGCTGGCACGGGGATCGTTGTGTAAGTCGGTCTGGTGGTTGTACTAGTCGGCCCGCTCGGACGTCTTGTAGTCGAGCTCCACCAGGATAAGGTGCTGATGGCATTGATGGTATTACTTGTAGTTAAAGGTTTTGGCCTTTTCGTAGTGCTGAGGGTAGCGGTAGTGCTTGTATTCAAACTTGGCCGATATGTTGTGTGATCGTGATTTGGTTCTAATCCTGCAGAGCTGTCGCTACTAATCGTTGTCATTTTGGGAGGCACGGGAGTGACGACTGAAGGTGGACGTTCACAGTTCGTTCGAGTGGGCGGTTCTGAGTTCAATCGTCCCAACCCCCGATTAATAGCCTTAAGTAGCGGGTAAGACTCGCTGCAGCACCGGTTTTGAAAGTCGTCAAGATCGACGGTCCACGCTGCCACTCCAGCAAAGTTATTTTTGGCCGCGTATCGGGCCTTGGCTTCGACACTGGCCTGATCTTCATACCCCACCCATTGATCCTTAAGCATGGCAAAAGGACCAGATCTCCGGCTTGGATCCTGACCAGTCCACCACTTGGACTCTCTTACGCGCTGGCAGATCTCGTAGAAAGCCAGCATTCCCGGCTGCTTAGTTAATTCGCCTGCCTCTCCAGGTCCGGTGGCAGGAATGCCCGTTCCCGTTAGCTTTAGGGGACTTTTCTCTAATGTGAAGCTTTGGCCATAGAATGGAATGCTCAATATAAGTTTTTCTTTCTGCGCGCCCATTTTTAACAGCAGTTTCATTGTATAGTCCGTATTATACTGCGGATACTTATCGGATGAAGATCCGTAAAGCGGACTCACATGGCCAGTTTGGCGCTCCCAAGCGCCGTGGTAGTCGTACGTCATTACTGTTAAGTAGTCTACTATATCTGACAAAGCGGGAAGCTCGTAGGCTTCTGTTATAATCTCTTTATAGCCCGAGATAGCAACTCCCACCTGAAATTTAGGATTAACACGCTGGAACTCCGTACGCAGCTCACGGAGAAGCTTGGTCAGGTTGGGCCGGTCACTTACAGGTCCCTTTGAGCAATCGCTTTGCCAACACTTCGGGTAGTTCCAGTCTAGGTGCAGACCGCTGAATCCATGGCGCTGCAGGAAACTGGCCGCGTTGGATGCAAAAACCCGTCTTTTAATATCGTCACTGGCCAGGCGTGAGTACTTGGAGCCGTTGGAATCCGTCCAGCCACCCAAAGCGATAAGTACAGGCACTCCCAGTGAAGTCACTCGTCTATAGTATTGGTTATCCAAATCTACCCAAGGATCGAACTCTCGAATGGTCAGGTGGTCAGGGTCCAAGGAGGCGAACGAATAGATAATGACGGAGCATAGCTTTGGGTCAATTTGCTCAGGAACAAAATTACCTTCACCCTTCCGGTAGAATGCCCAGTTCGACATATAACAAAGTACTTTCGTAGCGATGTTAATATGCTTTCTCTTTATCTCTGCTAGAGCTCCATAGGCGGATTGCGGACTTTCCAGACCCTCCTGCCCCAATGCGCCGTAGGACTGCTGTTCGACACTCACCGTCTTAAACAACTGCTGATGTGGGGAGCCGGCTCGGTATGGCTTCGGATGGAAGTCGTCCGACTTTTCTGGAGTAATAAAAGCGGCGTACTTGTCGGAAACGATGGAAAAATTTGGTTGTTCTAATGGTGTTAACGTTACAAGCCTTGGTTCTGCATCGATTTTCTTGACGTAACTCTCAAAGTTGGTAATAAAATCCATGTTCTCAACATTTTCTTCATCACTAGGCGCTGACTCTACGGAATCGCGCACAAAAGAACGTAGGCCGAATGACTCCGTCAGCATAGCCACGTTTTTCTGATTTAGCGTGGGAACACTCTCCACGGCGCTACGAAGTGGCAGGAAGGCGTCCCCAAACTCGGGTCGCGCACTGAAACGGATTAGGTGACCGTCGTCATCATTTAAAGGCATGCTCTCTACCGCGGAACGAACGAACATCGGAGTGTAGTTGGAATCCAAATGAACCTCCTGTGTCTCGACGCGAATGTGGGCCTCAACTGCCAAAGCCGCTAGCGTGGCTAAGAGCACCTGATGCGATAAAGCGAAGGTTAATGAAAAGAATTTATAGGTCACAGGAATTTACTTACGTAAAGACTACACCGCGCATTGACCCGCATTTTTCTACCTATTATAAATAAATATTGTATTCGTTAAAATGTCTGTCACAAAAGTATCGCGAATATGGCAGATAATATTCATTTTTGAATAAGAAAAGAAATAATCTTTAAGACGACTATATTACCGCTATTTGTGCATATTTGCTTAAAAATAATAAATTAATGTCAGTTTTACGATAAATTTTTTTAAATGTCGTTAAATTTTGTATTCTCTTGCAGAGAACATTATTATAAATTTGGTCAGAAGTTTCTAACACAATGAAGACGACATTTCCGAATTTATTCTGAATATATCTTCTTGAAGGGCATAACTAGACTAGTTCATAGAGCCATGTCCGTGTGCGGGATTAGTTTTAAGATAGAGACTTGAAACTTCCCCAATCGTCTTTTCATATGTTTACCCAGATTAAGTTTGAATCAATTTTCGAATTTTTTTTTAATCATTAGATTTTATGCATATATACCCTTTTCTACCATTACTTGAAGTGAAAAAATTTGTTACCTTTTTACAAAGGCAAGCTCAAAGATACTTTCATACAATTTAAAATAATAAAAACAAAATTTAGAGCTCGATAGGAACATTTTTTTTGTGTCAGGAAGGCTAGAAAAATGCTATATTTTTTCTTTGTAAAAACGCTTTGTTGTCATACTATATATAAATAGGCGTCAGATCCGGCTCGATTCGACGAATATACTACCGTCAATAGAAATAAGTTTTTTTCTCCGGGATTAATAACAAGCTACATTAGTTCAACAAAAAAAGATACTAAAAAACATCATTTCTAAAGATTGCAATTTTGGCAATAACTTTTGTCATATACTGAATTACATAAAGCAATCTATTAAGATTTTTTAGAGTTATGTGTTCGGCTGAGTTGATTAAAATGGATTCGCTTCAAAAGTTTTAAGTACTAACAGTTTTTATATAAAATTTTTATTGATTAAGATGTTTTTAAACTGAACATAAAATAATTCATTTTTGTATGGTAAAGGGTATGAAGCATAACCTTTCTTGTATACCTTCCCCTTAGCCAACAACATTGTGCGGTGACTGGAATTGGATACATTAGGTTGCCACTGAAGCACTCAAATAGGTGGCCGTGCCTGTTTAACTCTTCTCTAGGGTGGATTGTAGGAGGAGAGCTGGAAGATTCAAGTCAATCAGACTTAGTATCGCACGCCCTTACTTGCAATGTAACACAGACGCTGGATCTTAGCGATGGAAAGTATAAGCATTTGAAGATAGTCAGAACGTCACATTCACAGTCCGAGAAGAAGAATGCGTTCAACATTTTCGCTAAACCACGGCTATGTTGGCTTCAGGTTGTATATAATTCATGTGCCCTTGCACAGTCTCCAACCAAACCTTAGAAATTCTTAAGAAAACGACAGGCGTCGTTTTCTGCAGTGGGAACAGTCAGCTCAATTACGTAATCCAGCACCATGCTGTGTTACGAACACAAAGTTCGACCTCGAAAATCAGAGTAGTGTTTGACCTCGAACCTTTTAAGGAATGTTATTTTGAAGCCTGGCTTAACCGTGCAACAAAAGCTCGATCTAACTCTGCATTACTAAAATGTACAGGCACCCTTTGCCACTTACCACTTACGGCTTTGGAAGTACCCCGATTTTGGCCATGCAATCAATACAGTTTTCGGATGAAACTTATAAGGCAGAATTTCCAATAAGATCATAAGCAAAGCACAGCGATATGAGCGGAATCTACTGTTTATAAGAATTATTACATTTATTAACAAGTCTCTCTAGCCAAAAAAATGTTAGCCAGTGCTCTAGGGCTCGAAATGGAATTTTAAAGTGCGGGAATACAAGAACATTGTTACGGCATAGATGCTAATGAAACGCCAAATGCTCTAGGAATGTCGAGGAAGCCAATCGAAGTCTGCAAAATCACCGCTTTCAGAGTAACTTTATTCTTTATAGTAGTATGTTAGAACTTGGAACTCTATTTATACCCGTTACTCGTAGAGTAAAAGGGTATATTGTATTCGTGCAAAAGTATGTAAAAGGTAGAAGGAAGCGTTTCCGACCCTATAAAGTATATATATTCTTGACCAGGGTCACTAGCCGAGTCGATCTAGCCATGTCCGTCTGTCCGTCTGTCTGTCCGTATGAACGCTGAGATATCGGAAACTATAATAGCAAGAAGATTGGCATTTTGCATGTAGATTTTAGGAGTTCCTACGCAGCGCAAGTTTGTTTCAAAATGGTGCCACGCCCCCTGTGACGCCCACAAGCCACATGCTGTGGCCACAGTTTTGATGATATTATGAAAATTTTAATTGATATGTATTTGTATCGTCAATAAATATCGATTGGCCTAATAAAAGTTTTCCACACCCACTCTAACGTCCAAAAACCCATTAAACGCTTAAGCCTGGCTAGCGCCTGCATTTCTGCCTTTCATGGCGCCATCTAACGGATGACTTTGGATAGCTGGCTAAGGTGCTAAACAGAGTCAACGTTAATTCTCGATAAGGATTTCTATTAAAGGAAATTGCGATGGTTTTCATTTGTCAATACCGAACTATATCCAAAGAACTATGCAAATCAAATCTAGTTAGCCAAATTGGACGTCTGAGTCAAACAATGGCGTATGTGTGTATGTATGTAAGCATATACATACATATGTATGTATTTACATTGTACACACCCTGCAGTTCCGAAATTCATCACTATAAAAATTCATCACTGTTTAATCAGCAGCGGACTGTGACGCCGGCAGAGCCAAAGGCAAAGTCGGCAGAGCCGAGTGCGACGCAGGCAGAGCCGAAACTCTCAGTCCCCGATCGTAGGCATGATACAATAACATAAGGTAGTCTCGTCGGCTGTCTAAACGTTCGGGTTTTGGTCAGTGCGTGTTCGTCTTTCGAAGGGAAAGGTTGTCTGCGGACGAATTTTTTAGGAAATTAACCCTTGAGCAACATGACATTTTGCAATGTGTGCCGCAAACACGTCGATGGCGTAAAGGCACCGAAATGTTTGGAAAAAAGAGCGCTGTGGGAGGAATCGCTGTGATACTTTTAAAATAACAAAGAATGTAAAAGAAACTTTAATAATCGCAACCGAAAATATTAGTATAAGTTTTTATGTCTAAACTTATACTAACATTTTCGGCTGCGATTATTAAAGGTTCGTTTACATTCTTTGCTATTTTAAGATTAGAATATATTTTAAAATTAAGAATCTCAACAAAAGACTCAGTATTCAGAGGCAAAAACAACGCCTAATTTCAAATTCAAAATTATTAAAAATTAAATTATAAAAAAAAATTAAACTCCTTTTATTATGAAAGGCAAAAAAAAACCCCCTGAACCATCTAAGGGTTAATCCACACATTCTATTGTCGCTCTGCTCGCACTTACTAAACAGTTGCCATTTCACTCGCACTCATTGTTTTAATAGTAGGGTTCCAAAATTTGCCGACGAGACTACCTTATGTTATTGTATCATGAGACAGAGTAAGAGAGGGAGATGGAAATTTTTCTGCGTTGCCTACGATCGGGGACTGAGAGTTTCGGCTCTGCCTGCGTCGCACCCGGCTCTGCCGACTTTGCCTTTGGCTCTGCCGGCGTCACAGTCCGCTGCTGATTAAACAGTGATGAATTTTTGTAGTGATGAATTTCGGAACTGCAGGGAAAGCTATTCGCTATACCCGTTACTCGTGTTGTGCAAACATTTAGAATTTAATATACATAATACTATTTAAGAATGTATGTGTTTAGCCAATATAAGTATGTATGTTTAATATTTCTAGTCAATTTATTGCACTCAAAAACATAAACATAAACTCAGCTGCTGGTGCAGGACAAAAGCTGCCTGCGCTAAAGCAGCGCTGGTGCTGATGCTCGTGCGTTAAAGCTGCCAGCACTAAGAGATCGCCGAATTCTAATTGATAATTTGAACTTTTTGTCCTTTTTTCCTGTGGTCACTATAATTCACATTATGTTAAAAAAAAAAAAAACATACAAGAAGGCATATTTATATTAAGTTGTTTAGCTGAGTAACGGGTATCTAATAGTCGAGGCACTCGACTATAGCGTTCTTTCTTGTTTTAGAATACATACTAACAATTTTAGAAAGGGAAGACAGAATATATTCAAAGAAAAAATCCACATATGCAAGCAAGAGTATCTCCTCATTTATTAAATACATTGTTTAACTAGACTAATCCCATACTTAAACGATCATCAACGAAAAGGATTTCATGAGCCACATGCATATTACTGGGAATCATCGCCGAGGCAAAGAAAATTTAAAATCGCCTACAACGCAGATATACTGGCTACAATATTAACGATTGTTGATAGTGGTCATCGCACTCAGGTAGTGGATAATTACAGCAGCTTAGAATTGGGAAAAACTTATTGTTGCTACCTCAGTGGTGCCGATTACTGGGGGATTTTGAACAAATCGTAAATTGTTCATGAAGATCCGGCCAGATCAACGATTGCTAAATCCGCATCAGTACTGTTCCTCTCTCTGTAGATAAATCTTTTTACCTTTACTGAATGCGACCAAAACTCATTATTAAAGACGAAGTCATAAACCAGATTGGAATGTTAGAATTTTAGTAACTTGTAAATGATCAGAATTGTGTAAAACTTCAACGTAATGTTGATTTTTAAAACGGGTCCGATGCGCATCTAAAAATTCTGCCCTCTACTGTTTTTCTTGTATGCGACGACATTTTGACAATGGATTGTCAATTGAAAATCGTAATCTTTTGAAGTGTATGTTGCCAGACAAGAGTGTTTAGAAAATCAAATTATAGACGGAAAACCACAACAAAAAAGTGGGAAAAGTGTAAAATTGTTTAGTAAAGATGGAGCTGAATAATATATTTTGATAGGAGATCAGCTTTGAACTTCAAATAACTAAAGAACTATCAGTAATTTAAAGAAAAACTTATTTTGATAATTTAACATAAGCAAAAACAAGAAAGAAACATTAGTAAACTGGTACTCTGGGAGAAGTCAACCCTTAACCC